TTGCAACCTTTTAAACTTTTTTTTTTTAAAAGAACAGCTATTCTTTTTTTTTTTTTTTATAGAGGCATGTTTTATTTATTTATTTGTTTGTTTGTTTATACATGCACTGGGTACAGTCAGAAGCGCGTGAGGGTGAGAGAATTCACCAGAGCCAGAGCAGGGAGCAGAGCAGGCAGAAGGACTGAAGTACACTGCTGAGGGGAGCAGTGGGCGGCAGGAGAGGTCTGCGCACCATGTGGGACCCTCCTCCGGTGGCCGGGGAGCAGCCGGGGATCGAACCGGCAGAGGCCGCGGGCAGCCTCGCAACCCAGCGCTCAACCGCTGCGCCACCGGGGAGGCCCGCAACCTTTTAAACTTTTAAAGAAATATTTCAATCTCATTAAATAGAGAATTGAAAAATTTGTTAAAATTGGTACAAAGAAGAAGTCAAAGAACTACAGATATATATATATATATATTTATATATGACATAGGAATGTTTAACTAACAGAGTTACGCAAAATTGAGGTTTTCTACTGGATTGGTAGAGAAGTCAATTTAGTCTCCACCCTGAGGAATTTATTTGCTTATAGGTGTGGAAGACAGAATAACTGCCTCCCCCATCTATAAAATGTCCAGAGTCCTAATCCTCAGAATCTCACTATGTTAGTTTACATGGCAAAGGGGAAGTAAGTTTGTGGATGAAATTAAGATTGCTTATCAATTGACCTTTTTATAGAGAGATTAGTCTAGATTGCCCAGGTGAACCCAATGTAGTCCCAAACGTTCTTATTTTATTTTATTTTTATTTATTTATTTTTTAATTTTTTAATAGAGGCATGTTTTATTTATTTATTTGTTTGTTTGTTTTGTTTATACATGCACTGGGTACAGTCAGAAGTGCGGGAGGGTGAGAGAATTCACCAGAGCCAGAGCGGGGAGCAGAGCAGGCAGAAGGACCAAAATACACTGCTGAGGGGAGCAGCGGGTGGCAGGAGAGGTCTGCGCGCCATGTGGGACCCTCCTCCGGTGGCTGGGGAGCAGCCGGGGATCGAACCGGCACCGCAGAGGCCGCGGGCAGCTTTACAACCCAACGCTCAACCGCTGCGCCACCGGGGAGGCCCTCAAACGTCCTTAAAAGTGGAATACGGTACACTGAAGAGAGTCAGATGATGTTGTGAATATGGAATTACTATCAAAAACATGCAACTTTGCTGGCTTTGCGCAGAGAAAAAGGACCCAAGAATGTAGTGTTCTCTGCAAACTGGAAAAGGCAGGAAATGCATTTTCCCCTCCAGCCTCCAGAAAGAAGTGGAGTCCTACAGATACCTTAATATTTTGTCTTTTTGAGGTAACATTTGTTTACAACACTATATAGGTTGCAGGTGAAGTTTCTCACTTCAGGAAGTGTACGTATGTCCACCACCAACCAATGGGTCCTAGCTACTTACCTCAGTTACCACTGCTATCCCCTTTAGTGCTCATCATTCTGTTGTCAGAGTCTAAGTTTTGTTTATTTAAGATTTATTTTATTTATTTATGCATACAAGAGCTGGGGTACAGGCCAGAGGTGTAGGGGGTGAGAGGATTCACCAGAGACAGAGTGGGGAGCTGAACAGGTGGATTGACTAAAATACACTGCTAAGCAGTGGGCAAGACAGGAGAGGTCTGATGCACCATGTGTGGGTTAGCTCCCTGTCTGGGAATTGAACTCAGTCTGAGGTGGTGGTAGCACTGAGATTTAACCCCTAGGTCACCAGTTAGGCCTTTAATCCATTTTGAATTAATTTTATATACTGTGTAAAGTAATGGTCTAGTTTTGTTCTTTTGCATATGCTTGTCCAGTTTCCCTGGGGCCGTCTTTTGAAGAGTGTTTCCTTTCTCCATTGTATGCTCTTGGTTCCTTTGTCATCAATTATTTTTCCACACATGTGTGGTCAGGTACCTTAATCTTAGCACAGCAAGATTTGTGTGGGACTTCAAACCTACTGGATTGGTAGAGAAGTTTGCGTTTTTCTTAAATCACCAATTTAGGGCCTTCCCCATGGCGCAGTGGGTTGAACACAGAGCTCTGAGGCTGTCTGTGGCCTCTGCAGCACCGGTTCGATTCCCAGCCAGTCAGGGAGATACCCATATGGCAGGGCAGACCTCTCCTGTCTCGCCTCCTGCTCCCCTCAGCAGTGCATTTTGGTCAGTTTGCCTGTTCTACTGCCCACTATGTCTCTGGTGAATCCTTTCACCCTCCTGCGCATCTGGCCTGTACCCCAGTTCTTGTATAAAAATAAATAAATATTTAAAAAAAAGTCACCAATTTATAGTAAAGTTTTAAAGCAGCAATAGAAAACTAACATAACAGATAAGAATTAGTGTCATTTCTATCAGTTATCTATAATTTACACAGTTTTAAAATAGCCTAGTGTAAGGCATATGCGCAACAGAAACCTTATACTCGTTCTATAGCTGCACAGCTCATGGAACTTACTTTTTGGGCAGCAAATAAAAGTAAGAATGCATTCCTTATTAGATGAATGACTCAGCACTTAGCAATTGCAAATATGCACTATCTAACCACAGGATCATTAATCACTGAGGGAAGCAGAAATGAGCAAATTGATGATTTGATGGCTCAGTAGAATCCCCCTTGGAAACTGGGAAGAGCCAATTCATCAATAACTCTGGAATCAATTCTTGTTCCATCAGCCAATTTCTAACCAAAAGGAATAATGGCCTTTTGTGGCCAACTGCTGCAACTTCAGAGTTTGTGTTACAGCATAATTTCTTCCCTTAAATTAAAGTAAACTGGATAACACTTAGCAATTCACCCTTACCCTGTGCAAACTCTCATCAAGCAGAAATTGACAGACATTAAGAAAGGCAACAACTGTAAAAAAGGATCAGATAAATAATGATGATTGAAGTAGAATTATATTGTATTTGATCTCCTGGCAGCCATAGCAAATTTTTTTCGTAACAACACACTAAAGCGTTTCAGATGAAGCTGATTCTGTACATATTCCTTTTACTACCCTCCATTGACATAAGAATGTGTAAATTTGACCCAGGCTTGGCCCATCTGTCTCAATGACTTCTTTAAGAATTTATGGTGGGCCTCCCCTGGTGGTGCAGGTGGTTGAGAGCAGCACTGTGAAGCTGTCTGCAGCCTCTGCAGCACCGGTTCTATCCCTGCCAGCCAGAGAAGGTCCCACATTGCACAGCAGACCTCTCCTGTCGCGCCTGCTGCTCCCCTCAGCAGTGTATTTCGTCAATCTGCCTGTTCTGTTCCCCGCCCTGTCTCTGGTGAATCCTCTCACCCTTCCGCGAATCCGCATGTATCCTGGTTCTTGTATAAATAAATAAATAAATCTTTAAAAAAAAAAAAAAAGAATTTATGGGACCAGATTTGACCGACTGAGAACCAAGTGAATCACTATTTGAAAGTATCAGGCAACAAGCATTTTTTATCCAACAGTCTTGCTAACTTGGTGAATACCCACTCAGTTGAGGGGAAATCAGTTTGACAATGAAGTCAGCTCAGAAGGAAACTGAAATGAGAACATAGAACCACTGTGCCAACAGGGAGGTCCCTTCATTTATTATTTTAATTCAACTTTAAAAGGGAAAAGAAACTTTTCAACTCGTAACAAAGGACTAGTGTCAAAACATAACTTTACCATTTAAAAATTAATTTTTAATAAACCAATAGTAATGGATAATAATAAAAGACAATCAACTCAATAGAAAAAGAGACAACAGAAGAGAAAACCTGAATGTCCAGTGATATGAAAAGCTGCTTAACCTCTCTGCTACTCAGGAAAATGTCATTTAAAACAATATCCATTTCAATGAGAAAGCATACATTGTACAAAAATGAAGAATGACATAAAAAATATATAAATAAAACAATATCCATGTACTACAATGAGATTGGTGAGAAGTAAAAATAAAAAATGCTGGCAGAGATTAGAGATATTCTCAGACACCAAGCAGAATTATTTAGGGAATCAAATGACTTTAATATGCAAAGTGAAGATACCTTATGACCCACCCATTTTACTTCCAAATGTTTACCCTAGATAAACTCCCATGTAAAGTTGTTCATTGCAGATTGATTTTAAAGGTGAAAAACTAAAAGTCCATCATTATGATAAATTATTTTTGGCAATTCATAACTAGATAATAGTTCTATAGGACACAGTACTTATTATTAGGACAAATGAAGTACATCTAGGTGTATGAATATGGATAGAAATTAAACATAATATTACAGAGCAACCCCAATATAAAACGGGTTGCCTGACTGTGGGTCCTCACCCCCGCGCTTAAGCCACACGACCCTGCAGACTCACTGAGGGGCCGTATTAATACTCAACTGCAGGTACACACAAACGGTTAATAAAAGGTTTATTTACAAAAGAAAAGGAAAATGAAGAAATGAATAACTCAGGGAGAAAAAGAGGGAGAGCACCTCATGAATGTGTCTTACCTGCTCTGCCCACCTGGAATTCCAGTGGGACGCTGACAGCTGGCGAAGAGCCATGAGGCCAAGAGCCAGACCCAAGGCCCACAGGTCTGGTTTTATACCATACCTGGCAGCTTAACCCCACCCTCAGGTTCCAGCAACCCTCCCTTTGGTGATGATGGGCTTTGTCATTCCCAGTGTCTTGATGGCTTTGGTCTAGAGTTGGGGTGGAGTCCACAAAACCTATATGGAGTTTGCTCAGGACATCCTGTCCCCCTAACAACAATATTGACTGAAACCACTAGGGCTTAACGATCTCTAAAGGAAAACAGCAAAGAAGACTTTTCTGAGGTTTCTCTATTCCTAAGTAGAGATTTCGTAGCTTGGACATGGAAAGGAACAGCCTTCTGTGAGCTACAAAGGAGAGAAAATTTGCCCTGTCAGACTTCCTCCGAACAGTGCAATGTAGACAGGAAAAACTACATTTCCCATCAAGCACCGCGCCCTCTGCCCCCCCCACGTCACCGCCTCTTCCCCAAGGAAGTGAAAGGAGCATTTCCGGTTCGGGGAACCCAGGAGCAGGCGGCATTGGGTCGGCTGTGTTGGGCCTTGCTCCGAGGCTCCGCCTTCACTTGGGTCTTTCTAGAAACCCAGCTTTGAGCTCGGTGCGGGGCAGGTATTTCCAGGCCAGTACGGGTGTCCCGAGCGCAGCCCAGTGCACCGAGGTGGGAAAGGCTTATTTCTGCGGAGGCTCGGGGTTCCGGCGGGGCGCGCGGGTGGAGGCCCGGGTGGGAGACCGGTTGCTCGGGTCGTGGTCTCGGCGCTGACAGCCCTTCTTTCTTCTCCTTGCCCGGTTCCAGCTTCCCAGAAGCGCGTGTGAGTCCTCCATGGCTGATACGACCCCAAACGGCCCCCAAGGGGCGGGCGCGGTGGTGAGTGAGTCTGCAGGGTCGTGTGGCTTGCTTTGCTCTGAGAATTAGAAAGGAGCTGGGGTTTGCTAGTCGGATTTGGGGTGTTGCAGAAGCTGGGGGCTTTTAAGAGTGGGATTAGTGATTGGTGGGAGGCAGGTGGCGGGGAGATCGTGAGCGAAGAGGTAGATGGAGTTTCAAGTTTGTCTTTCAGAAGCTACCACGAGCCAACCTGAAGCAGGTGGCTCTCACCTGTATGCCTTAGAATTTGGGCCTTCTTGCCGCTCCCTACTCTTCAGTCTCTGATTGTCCTAGGTCCCAAGGTTGAACAGTCACTTGAGGTTGTGTCATGACACGCGCCTCATTCCGCTCAGGCGGGCCGGCAGAGAACACGTTTTTGCCCCATGCTATGCCACTGTGCAGAAATATGAAAAGGAAGGAGAGCACTCATTCTTTTTTCTTTCGTCATACGAAAAGAAAAGTCATGCTTCTGTATATTTTATATTCTTCTCTAAGGCTTTTTTAAAAAGATTTATTCATGCATACAAGAACTGGGGTACAGGCCAAAGGTGTGGGGGGTGAGAGGATTCACCAGAGACAGAGTGGGAACAGAACAGGCAGACTGCAATATTCTTCTGAGGGGAGCAGCAGGCAAGACAGGAGAGGTCTGCGGCGCCACGTGGATAGCTCCCTGGTAGGGGATTGAACTCCTGCTGCAGTGGCTGCTGATAGTTTCATAGGATGTGTCTTAACCCCTTGCACCACCAGGGAGACCCCTAGTTACATTCTTAATGGTAGTTAAACCACAGATACTGAAGTATTCTACGTGATAACATGATCGCAGTGCAGTCATCGCTGTCATTTTGGAGTTAAATTTGGGAGATTTGACATTGATACATGTTATTACTTAATGTACAATCCATATTCACATTTCCTCAATTGTCCTTTAAAGCTGCTTTATCCTTTTCCAGGACTCATTCAAAAAGCATGCATTGTCGTTATTGACTTTTAGTTTCTTTAAATCTGCCAGTTCCTTTGCCCTCTTCTCATTTTGTCTTTCTGGAGTCTAGGCTTTTTTTGTGGAAGTTGTCAGATCTTTATCCCCTGATGACTAAATTCAGGTTAAATACTGCATAGGAGGTGATAGTCTATATTACATCGGTAGGAAGATTTCCTAGGAATAATGGCTAGTTTGTCCTTCTTAGTACATTATCTGTCAGAAAGTATTTGTGTTATTTTAGCCCATCTTTGGCGATACCAAGTTTGATTATTTCCTTAAGGTAGTGTTCACTAATTACTCTGTTATTTTTATCTCTTTTGCCTTTGTAATTACTATGTATTCTACGGCTGGATATTTGAAACTGAATAGTTTTCCACACAAAAAACCATTGATTTTTTTTTTTCCCCCCAGAACCATTTATAACATGTTGGGGCAATTGAGTTCAAATGTAAACCAATACATTTTGTAAACCTTTTTTATTGTGTAATACATGTAAAAGTGTATGAAATGAGACACATGGCTCCATGATTTATCACAAAATGAACATCTTAAACAAGTCTTAAAAGGAAATGGTCTAAAATTAGAGTTTCAGACTGACGGAAAGTCTGACTATAGAGAAACTGAGCATATTAAATTAGATTCATCCTTTCACTTGACTATTAGTTATCATTTAATATAGAGAATTCACATCATAGTAGGTTTGGATACAGAAAAAACAGAAGCATATTTCTCTAATGACCTGTATTATAGTGAGCACTGTTTTATTTTTTTTTTTTTTTTTTTATTTTCAAAATAATGTTTATTGAGGTGATGGTGATTTACAGCACTATATGTCCTAGGGACACAGAGTCACATTTCTACAAATACATCTTGTTACACCACATCCACCACCAAAGCATCAGTAATCTTTCACCACGGTCCATTCAGCAACATCCCCCATTGTTCCCAAACTCCTCCCACATTCTACCCTAATGATAGCCTCAGTTCTACAATTAACTTTTTTAATATTGTACATGTTATATTTAATATTGTACATATAATATTATACATATAATACTATAAATATTGTTAATACTTAACATACTTGTATTTTCACAATATAGAATTTCTCTGCTCAATTGTGATCACCATAGTTTACCCACCATCAAAGCACCCTTAGTCTTCCACCATAGCCCATTGGGTTGGGCATTCTCCTTTGGAGGCACAGAGTCAGGGGTTTGGGCTCTCTCCTGGAAGCAAAAGGAAGGACACAAAGATAACCCATTCAAGCTGTACCAGTATGACTGTGGCTCTATTCATGAACTGTAAAGACCATATTTTCTTCAAATCAGTTCTATTTATGGATTAACTGGGAAAATTAGCTGTGCCTATGGCAGCAGATAGACTAGTCTTTCTTTTATATTCCTCTGATACCTGATTATGTTGACATTTGTGAGCACAGAGTACAAGCTAGCAGTTTTGGCAAATGACACATAGTAGAACTTTGTTCATTCATTTTTGCTTGTAGTTTGACAAGTCACATTTCAACAAAGGAAAATAATAATACCAATTTTTTTTTATTTTATGTCTATAGTATTGGGTGCAAGTAACAGTTTAGACATTTTAGGGGTGTGGTCATGGGTTAATCACAAAGGTCTAATCACAAAGGGCTTCTTCACTACTAGCTGTAACTCTTAGGCTTCCTCCAAACATTTTCTTAAAATGTTTCTGGCTGCAGGGTCTCCCTGTTGGTGCAGGGGGTTAAGTGTCAGCACCATGTAGCTATAGGCAGACATTGCTGCATGAGTTCAATCCCTGGCCAGGGAGGTGACCCAAATGACGCAGCAGACCTCTCCTGTCTCACCCACTGCTCCCCTCAGCAGTGTACTTCTGTAGATCTGCCTGTTTTGCTCCCTACTCTGCCTGTGGTGAATTGGTGAATGCTCTCACCCCCAATCCCCCACACCTCTGACCTACACCCCAGCACTTGTGTGCATAAATAAGAAATAAATAAATCTTTTTAAAAAGATGGTTCTTGTTCCACTACTTGCCCAAAGATATGAAATAGTCCATCAGACAATTTAATACATAATCCTTCATTAATATTCAAAATTACTTGAATAGAATATGGAGTCCTGTCAGCCTCACACAATACTGACATTCAGTTTATTTCTATCTTTCAATGTATAAAAAATTAAGTAACACTTTAAAAATGAAACAGTGTGCTACAATGCTTTATTTTCCTTTTTTTATAAGAAGGATTCAAGAAAATTTCCAATAAATCAAAGGTTTGGACAATGTTTGTAGCATTATTAACATTTCATTTTAATGATTTCGGATATTCAAGATTTTTGTTTTCAACCAGGAAGTTCTTTAAGTAAAGAGAGTTGCTTTGGTACCTATCTGTAGCTTGAATACCAACACTTTCCTTTCGTAAAGTTTGATAAAAAGGAATTGATACTTTTAGTAGAATAACTTTTTCACCAAATAAAATTATGTGAATCTAGAATTTCAAATTTATCTTCAGAGAGTCTGAAGTATCCTTTGGTGATTTTTAAAAAAATAACATTTCCTGGTGGCATCTTTCTTATTTAGATATTTGGGCTTCTGCCCTATTTTTTTTAAATTAGCTGGCTAATAATTTGTCTATTTTAGTTGTTTTTCAAAATGCAAGTTTTTTTTTTTTTATTTTATTTATTTTTTTTTTCTTTTTAATAAATTTTATTGTTATATTCCCCATACAATTGCAGCCTCCCCATTCTGACCCCAATCCCTCCCTCCCACCCCCGCCCCCCTAAAAGTGTCTCTGGTTCATAGTTTTTTGTTGATTTTGATTTTCACTTTCTTGTAGTTATTCATTTTCCTGGTCCCTTATTTAAGTTTTCTCTAGATTCCTGCTATGAGTGAGACCATCCGGTATTTTTCTTTTTCTTTTTGGCTTATTTCGCTGAGCATGATCCCTTCCAGCGCCATCCATGTTGCTGCAAATTGCATGTGTTTATCTTTTTTGAATGCTGAGTAATATTCCATGGTATATATGTACCACATCTTCTTGATCCAGTCATCTATTTTTGGGCATTTGGGTTGTTTCCAAAGCTTAGCTATTGTAAACAGTGCTGCTATAAACATAGGGGTGCAGGTGTTCTTTGGAATTGATGTTTCTGTGTCCTTTGGGTAAATACCTAGGAGTGGAATTGCTGGATCATATGGAAGCTCTATGTTTAGTAGATCCAGAAATCTCCATACAGCTTTCCACAGTGGTTGGACCAGTTTGCACTCCCACCAACAGTGCAGAAGAGTTCCTTTTTCTCCACACCCTCGCCAACATTTGTTGTTGCTAGTTTTTTTAATATGTGCCATTCTCACTGGTGTAAGATGGTATCTCATGGTAGTTTTGATTTGCATTTCCCTGATGACAAGTGATGTTGAACATTTTTTCATATGCCTGTTGGCCATTTGCATTTCCTCTTCAGAGAAGTTTCTTTTAAGCTCTTCTGCCCATTTTTTGACTGGATTATTTTCTTTGTTGTTGTTGAGTCTCACCAGCTCTTTGCAGATTTTTGTGATCAGTCCTTTATCATTAGTGTTGGGTGCAAAAATGTTCTCCCAGTTGGTGGGGTTTCTCTTTGTTTTTGTTATTGTCTCTTTTGCTGAGTGAGCACTGTTTTAAAAGACATGCATTAAACATCCTTGAATTTTAAAATGTACTTGGATTTTTTTCCTAGAAGTTTTTAGTTCCTTTTTTCAGAAGATACACTAGATGGCTTAGTGCAGTGTTTTTAGACTCCAGGTTAAGTAAGACTTGTTGGTGAGTTCTCAAATTACTCTGGTGGAAATACTTAAGTATTTCTAAAACATTAAATAGAATAAAATACCAAAATCCACACACGGTAATGATTGGTTTTGTGAAATTTTTGTTTTATATACGTATTTTTTTTTAAAGATTTATTTATTTATGCATACAAGAACTGAGGTTGAGGCGAGAGGTATGGGGATGAGAGGACTCACCAGAGACAGTGGGAAACAGAACAGGCGGATTGACTGAAATAAACTGCTGAGGGGAGCAGCTGGTGAGACAGGAGAGGTCTACTGTGCCATGTGGGTTAGCTCCCTGGGCAGGGATCGAACTAGTTCTGCAGTGGCTGCTGATAGCTTCTTAGTGCTGTGACTTAACCCCTTGTGCCACCAGGAAGGTCCCCACTATGGAAGTTTAATCTAGAGTCACTGAAACTAGGGGTAAGACTTATGGGGTAGCTTCTGGATAAAGAAGAAAGTCATGAAATCTGAGAGGCAGGTGCTATTTTAACAACGAAAAGCTTCGTTTTGAGCACTATGATATGCTGGACTCTTGTCCAGCATATCATAGGCAAATCAACCATTGGCCAGAGTGATTAATATTAAATGACTACTTGTCTTCTTTGTGACGTTTATTTAAACCAAACTGACTTTGTATGATGCCTTTTATTCGATGCCTTTTTATTCGGATCTGAGAACTACCTATTTGAATTTAAGACTTTCTAAGAATAGGCATTGTGGTTCTCTAGGGAGCAATTAGTTCTTATTTAATGTTCTTTTAAAATAGAGAAGTGGGGCCTCCCTGGTGGCACAAGGGGTTAAATCTCAGCACTATGAAGCTATCAGCAGCCACCACAGCACTAGTTCGATCCCCTGCCAGGGAGTTAACCCACATGGCGCAGCAGAGCCCTCCTGTCTCTCCCATTGCTCCCCTCAGCAGTGTATTTCAGTGGATCTGCCTGTTCTGCTCCCCACTCTGTCTCTGGTGAATCCTCTCAACCCCCCCCCCACAACCCCGTACCTCTGGTCTATACCCCAGCTCTTGTATACATAAATAAATTTAATAAAAAACTTTAAAATAGATGAAACGCCAGTATTACAAGTGTTTAAGGACTATGATAGTTGTACTTAAATTTGTGTTCAGATTTTTCTTTCCTAATTAGATTTTTCTTTCCTAATTAGATTGAACTCGTGCTGCAGAGGCTGTGGACTGCTTCATAGGTTGCGTGTTAAGCCCTTGCACCACCAGGGAGGTCCCATTAAAACATTTTGAATAGAAATAACATAAATAGGGCCTCCCCGGTGGCGCAGCGGGTTGAGAGCTGCACTGTGAAGCTGTCTGCAGCCTCTACAGCGCAGGTTCTATTCCCAGCCAGCCAGGGAGAAACCCACATGGTGTGGCAGACCTCTCCTGCCTCTCCCGCTGCTCCCCTCAGCAGTGTCTTCGGTCTGTCTGCCTGTTCTGCTCCCCGCTCTCTCTGGTGAATTCTCTCACCCTCCCACGCCTCTGACCTATACCCCAGTTCTTGTATAAATAAATAAATCTTTTTTTTTTTTTAAAATAACATAACATACATAATCATCATCTTTAAAAATAATTTCCATGTTTAGTTTATGGCAACCTTTTTTTTTCTTTTTTAAATTTAGCAATTCATGATGACCAATAAACTGGACACAGCTATGTGGCTGTCTCGCTTGTTCACAGTTTACTGCTCTGCTTTGTTTGTTCTGCCACTTCTTGGGTATGTATTATATTTTTCTGTGCTTGATATTAATTGTTCAGTTTTTTAATGGAATACCTTTTAAATGCAACTGTTAAGGGGCCGGGACAAATAAAACATGTCTCATCCTTAAGGCGTTAATAGCCTAATAATATTACCAACTGAGGGGTAGTATATATCATCTGCTTGTGAAAACTAACATGAAATTGAAAATCTGAAGAAAAATAGATGTGTGAGAATGAGATGGATTCATATTTTTTGCATTTTTGACTTTTTAACTTAATAAGCAGAATGCTTTATAAAATTCAGTAGGGTAGGTAGATGAAGTGATGCTTCTAAGGAGGTCCAAGTACTTTTTTCTATTGACAAGTAGTAGATTTAGGTGTTGTGCAATTATGATGCAATTCACAAAGGAGGAAGAAACATGGTAGTTGTTTATGTCTCATCATAACCTCTCCTCTGATAATTTTAGGTTACATGAAGCAGCAAACTTTTACCAACGTGCTTTGCTGGCAAACGCTCTTACCAGTGCTCTGAGGCTGCACCAAAGATTACCGCACTTCCAGTTAAGCAGAGCATTCCTGGCTCAAGCTTTGTTAGAAGACAGCTGCCACTACCTTTTGTATTCACTCATCTTCGTCAATTCCTACCCCGTAACAAGTATCCTTTTATACTTATTTGACAGTGAAATTGCCTACAGAGCACTTGGAATTTTTTTCTGATTATTTTTTGCAATAGGAAGAGTTTGATAATGAGGGCATTCATGAATCCTGAGTTGGTTTGTTGATACTTCATTTGAATGAAGATGCAGTAGTATAAGAATTTCTGAACCTAAAGTGTGAAATCCACATTTTAAAGAACTGATATGGGAATTTTAAACTTATCTTTGTTCTTACTGCAGGTAAGCTTCTCTATTAGCAGTGGATATTTTAAAATTCAGATTAAAAAAACAAGCCCCTGCAGTACTTAATTTTAAAATTTTCTAAAATTTGAGTAAAAAATGATAAATGTTAAAATAAAAAAATAAAATTTTCTTTCATTTGATTGACATCTTTGGGAAAGTGTCAGATGTATAGCTTCAAAGAGAAATCCTTAGCTCTTTTAAAGTGAGCTAGAAATGAAATTCATCACAAAGTAAATTATTTAAGCAGAGAATGGAGTAATTAACAAATAAGCAATCAGTGTTTGCAGTGGATTGGGTAGAAAATAAGGACACGTGGAAAATCACTGGAACTAATGATAATTAAATAACATATTTGGAGTTTTAGGTTTACACATTTAAAAAATGATGTTGTGGGAAATGATAATAGGTGTCCTAAAGAGGAAGAGGGAGGGTGGAGGGGGCAGGCTGCATGCAGGGAGGTCTATAGTTCGGTAAGTTTGGAAAGCAATGGGTTAAATAATGTTAATAGGTTTCTTTATTATAAGACCTTTGATATGCTAATATATTTTGTGAGAATAGAAGAATTACTAGTGTTTCCTAAATTAATCTGTTTTTTCTCCCCTGTGGGTCATCCCTCAGGAAAGTATTTGGGCTTTGGAAAGTACTGCTCAAGAATTTTTTAGTATCTGTGATACAACTACACGTAATGAAAAGTACAATAAAATTGGTCTTTAAGACAAAATAATGCCTACTACATTATTTTTACTTTATGAAATTTTTTTAAAGATTTGTTTTTTAAAGATTTGTTTTTGCATACAAGAACTGGGGTATAGGCCAGAGGTACGAGGGAGTGAGAGGATTCATCAGAGACAGAGTGGGGAGCAGAACAGGCAGATCTACTGAAATACACTGCTGAGGGGAGCATCAGGCAAGACAGGAGATGTCTGCTGCGCCATATATTGGTTAGTCCCCTGGCTGGAGATGGAACTCAGCCCCACATGGTGATAGTGCTGAGACTTAACCCCTACTGCATCAGGGAGGCCCCAAAATATTAAATTTTAAATAATACCTTTAAAATAATAGGCTTTTCTTTTAAATAAAGGAATAGGAGGAAACAAATTTTTGGACACTAGTTTTGCAAGTATTTGTGAATTTGACGTATTTAATTCTTGCCACACTGAAAAAAATAATCAGTGAGCATCATATTTTTGAGACTGAAGGATTTTATTTATTTATTTTTTTAAAGACTTATTTATGGATCTCCCTGGTAGTGCAGGCAGTTGAGTGCTGCTGTGAAGATGTCCGCAGCCTCTGCAGTGTTGGTTTGATCCCAGCTGGCAGGCGAGGGTCCCACATGACTAAGCAGACCTCTCCTGTCTCGCCCGCTGCTCCCTTCAGCAGTATTTCAGTCAGTCTGCCTGTTTTGTTCCCCACTGTCTCTGGTGAATCTTCTCACCCTCCTGTGCATCTGGCCTGTACCCTGGTTCTTGTGTAAAAATAAATCTTTAAAAAAAAACCCATTTATTTATGCATACAAGAACTAGGGTATAGGCCATAGGTATGGGAGGTGAGAGTTTCACCAGAGACAGAGTGGGAAGCACAACAGGCAGATCTATTGAAATAACTGCTGAGAGGAGCGGTGGGCCAGATAGGAGAGGTCTGCTGCACTATGTGGGTTAGCTCCCTGGGCCAGGATCGAACTCTTGCTACAAGTGGCTGGCTGTAGCTTGATAGTACTGAGACTAACCCTTCTGCCACCAGGGAGACCCGAGACTCAAAGATTTTAAAATAATTTGCCTGATAAAACATTGGTTAGTAAGTAGTAATGCTGACAAGGTATATCTAATCTGCAGTTAATGGGTGAGTAGTACTTAAATGTAGTTTAAAAACATTTAAACCTAGACATAGCTATGTCTGTACCTAGACATACCTGGTAGTTCTGCTTATCTATAACAGTATTTGGAGATGCTGTTTAAATTCCTTGCTTTATGAAGAAAATATAAATGGTTTGTAATGCAAAGCTAAATTTTTTTTTTTCATTTCAGTGCATGATTAGGTCTGTAATGTCTCATCCTAATTTGTATTTGTTAGTTTTTAGGTAAAATTCACTAGATAATCTCTATCATTGGATTGCCATTTTGTCAATCCTGTTCATTTAGGCCCTTTATAGTACCAGTATTAAAATTCTTGCTTTTCTGTGATAATAATGGATATTTTGTACAGGTTGCTGGTTCTACTGTTGAGTAGCCTAAAGTTTCATCAGAGAGAAGCAGAAATGATAGAAACTGTTTTACAGATAATTAAAGTAGAGCAAATTGAATATATCAAGACTGACTACCAGGTCAGTGCATAGCACAGAATAGGTGGTCAGTGAGATTTGTTGGGTTTATGTTTTAGATGGTACGAAATGAGACTCTTGTTCAGTGAAGACAGTGTCTCTTCTCTGCCCTTTTGTGCAATTGATTATTTGCTAGCTCCTCTATGGGAAATGTTGAAGATTAAGTGTCTCATATCCCTTAAATTCTTATGGGGGGGAGGGGAAAGGGAGCCAAGTAGAAGTGGTGAGAATAACGTAAAGTAGTAATTGGCCAGAAATACTAATTTGATTCCTGAAGTAGTTGAGTATTATGGTAATAAATAAAAGTGAGCCCAGAGTCCTATTACTAAGTTGTGTTCTGATCTTTGCTCTTACAAAGGTGACAAATTGTACTTGCTGTAACAGTGATAGGTGCTTAGGGTTTAAATTGTAGACTTTACATCCCTTATGTTTTTGGGTAGTTTAAAAGTGACATTGAAAACTAAAATTATGACTCTCTTATCAAAATTTTTTTTTTTTTATACAAGATCAGGGGTACAGGCCAGATGTGCGGCGGGGAACAGAACAGGCAGACTGACAGAAATACACTGCTGATGGGAGCAGTGGGGGAGACAGGAGAGGTCTGCTCGCCATGTGGGTTGCTCTGAGGCCAGTGGGGATCGAACCGGCACTGCAGAGGCTGCGGACAGCCTCACAGCGCTGTGCTCAACTGCCTGTGCCACCAGGGAGGCCCATCAAATATTTTGAACTATAGAATGTTAGAAGTAAAAAACTCATTAGAAATCTTTAACTTTGACTACTATGTATTCTTTCCACAGAAGATGAAACTTGGCCTAGAGAAATGTAGTGTCAGAACCTGGACTAGAATCCAGATTTTGACCTGACATTGCCTCTTCATTGAATCAGGTGTCAATTGAGGATGTGTGTCAAAGCTTAAGTTGAATTATTTAAGAAGGAACAGAGTTTTACAGTGTCCTTAGAGAGGAAAGGGTTGTAGCTTTCATCAGTTTCAAAGGAATTCATGATTAATTAATAAGTATGAAATTGCTTGATTTATATGTTATATGTAATATGTGATGTTAGTATATATTATATGTGCTGTGTTTTGTGTAATATATTGATACAATGAATAAAAATTATATTCACGGCCTCCCTGGTGGCGCAGTGGTTGAGCGCTGGGTTGCGAGGCTGCCCGCAGCCTCTGCGGCGCTGGTTCGATCCCTGGCTGCTCCCCGGCCACCGGAGGAGGGTCCCACATGGCGCGCAGACCTTTCCTGCCTCCCTCTGCTCCCCTCAGCAGTGTACTTCGGTCCTTCTGCCTGCTCTGCTCCCCACTCTGGCTCTGGTGAATTTTCTCACCCTCCCGCGTTTCTGACTGTACCCAGTGCTTGTATAAACAAACAAACAAACAAACAAACAAATAAATAAAACATGCCTCTATTAAAAAAAAATTATATTCAGGAATTTAACATTTTTTTTCATTCTTATGAATGGCAGGGAAGAATTGGACAAGTTATTAATTTGGAGAACTTTAGTACAGAGTTAGGATTCTTCTAATATTTGGATGTAGGTCAATATCTTTCTTGCTCACCAATTGGAAGTTAGAAAATTTTGAATCCTAAATGAGTTAGGTTATAATGAATTTAGTACTCACATTGTGTCACACCAGATTTTCAGTTAGTATCCAGAAATGTAATTGTTTGTTTCTTAGAAACTGCTAATATTTTCAGGACAAGTATATTTTGTGCCATTCATGATTGATTAACAATCTGTGCTATTTCATGTAAGTACTTGACAAATTTTTTGTTTTTCCTAACCTGGCAGGTATTGGGGTAAATAGGGTCTTCTCACTGTTTTTTTAGAAAGTTGAATAAAAATGTTGTGTCCGTGACATAAAACCAAGCAGTTCAATTCAAAATGTAAGGATCCTTTGCATATGTTTGTAATTAAACTGATGATACTTTTAATTGACTATACACAAACCCAAGTATAAAACTTCTCTTTTGTTTGTATAATTGAGGACTATGACAACCTGATAGGTACAGTACCCAAAATAATGAGGCCCTTGTAGGAAGGAAATGAAGGATCTTTAGCTGAGGAAAATGTGGGAACGACTCTTTAAACTATTAGTCCACACTTTCCTAAGCAGCTGACATGATGAAAGCAGTGCAAAAGACTGTCTTTGTACTTGAAAGCTAAGTTAGTTCTCACTAGGACAGCCATTGTGGGGTTAAAAGCTGTATTAACTAACTCTTTGAGGTGGTTTAGGTTTCTGTTTAAGAAAGGCTTACAGTATTTTATTATCTAATAAAAATAAATGAAAAAAATCTTTAGTATTTCCATCATAAAAAGAACTCTTGAGCTTTAGAAAATGAATAGTTTATTTTTGCCTTTACAGATTATAAACATTTCATTTGGTTGTAAAGTATGTCAAAAGCCATCTCTGAGTTCAGTTTAACTGATGCCATTTCATACCTGTTTATTTGGACTTAACGTGTAAAGTGTTTTGCAAAGTACTTGATGAATTTTATGTGTTTTCCTTAATTGTTTTCTTCAGTGAGTATTTTTCCAGTCTTGTTATTTTCTTTGCTTCATGCTGCCACATACACAAAAAAGGTCCTTGATGTAAGTAAAACTATGTTGTTTTTTCTTTTTTTTTGACTCCTGATTTATACAATTGACATGAATTTGAGTTCTAAGACATTTTGGCATTCGTCACAAAAGGTTCCATTACTTCTTAGAAACTTGTTCTAAATTATTTAGAGATTTGAAAGTTTAGAATTTTTTGTTGTTGGAGTTTCACAAAGCAGTACATTTTGTAGTTATAAAATTACCTGCCAGTTCCCAGAGGAATTTATGAGATGTGAAATAATATCTTTATTTAAAAAAAAAAAAATCTTTGACTTTAAATAAGTTTCATACATTGCCAGAGATCTCTTTTTCTGTCAATATTTAACTACCAGTAAGTAGTGTACTCGCTTCTTTTGGACTTACATTCAGAACTGCTGCTTTACTAACATTTCTCCTCACGTGACTGTGCCAGGCAAATTGACTGCATAGGAACTGAAATTTGAATTAAAATATCCAAATTTTGCCTTGAATTCACCTTTTTCTTTATTCTTAGTGGTTTTTTTTTGTTGTTGTTTGATTGTACTCCTGTTTTACCTTTGGTTAGCTAAGGAGTCAAAAGACGTTTGATTGTATTACTGGGTAGTCATATTTTTGATAGAAATAACCGCCATTTTTGGTAAGATAATGTGATCTTTCTTAAAAATTAAGCTTGAAAATGACTTATTAAAGTTGTTTTTCTTTTTAATTTTTTAAATATACAAATACAATAAAGAGGAAAATATACCAGATACTGTCTTTAGTTCGTAGGTTTTTGTCATCATTTCCAATGGTCTTTTGGTTATAGTGCCTCGAGATATGCTATTCATCTAAAGAATGAATGTGAGTGATCAAAAATGCTGCTTAATTTCTAACTTTTTTTCCTTATGTTTTAGGCAAAAGGTTCAAATAGTTTACCTTTGCTGAGATCTGTTTTGGATAAATTAAGTGCTAATCAGCAGAATATTCTGAAATTCATTGCTTGTAATGAAATCTTCTTGATGCCTGCTACAGTTTTTATGCTTTTTAGGTAAGAATTAAAATATGTTTGTTTGGGAAAGCTGATGATGAAGTTAGTGAACATAATAAATATATTAACTTGAATTTTATCCTCCTTAAATCTGTTGAAGTAACGTGCTGATACACAGCACTAAAAGGACCTTAGTGGTCATCTTTTCACTTTATAGCAGGGACCTGAGACATAATAGTAAATCTAGGAATTTGTATTACTTACTGTTCTTTGAGTTTCATTATGTGACATTTTGAAAATTAATTTCAGAATTACTGTATTTCAAAGAACCTTGGGAAGATTAGTTTAAAACATTCTGCTATTACAGAGAAAAATCTTATATTAGAGAAAAATCTTTTAAGATTATAGTCTGGAATTCATGTTGCTTGCTACCTCCCCATATATTTCTGCATTTTATTTTATTTTGTTTTTTTCCAGTTTTTTTTTTTTTTAAGATGTATTTATTTATACAAGCACTGGGGTACAGGCCAGAGGCGAGGGAGGGTGAGAGAATTCACCAGAGACAGAGCAGGGAGCAGAACAAGCAGAAGGACTGAAGTACACTGCCGAGGGGAGCAGTGGGCAAAACAGGAGAGGTCTGCCTTGCCATGTGGGAATCTCCTTGGTGGGCCAGGAATGAACCAGTGCTGCAGACAGCACAGGCTGCAGACAGCTTCACATTGCTGCGTTCAACCCGCTGTACCACCGGGGAGACCCTATTTTTGTATTTTAATTGTAGAAATAATGCTTGACAAAAAGAAAACTTTTATTTTTAAAATTAGAACATTAAGGGCCTCTTGGTGGCACTAGGGGTTAAGCACCGCACTATGAAGCAATCCACAGCCTCTGCAGCAAGAGTTCGATCCCTGGCCAGCCAGAGAGAAACCCACATGGCGAGGCAGACCTCTCCTGTCTCCCCCGCTGCTCCCCCTCGGCAGTGTATTTCAGTCAGTCTGCCTGTTCTGTTCCCCTTCTGTCTCTGGTGGATCCTCTCACCGCCCCCCCCCCCCCCCCGCATCTCTGATCTTTGGCTTGTACCCCAGCTGTTGCATGCATAAATAAATAAATCTTTAAAAAAATATATAAATAAAATTAGAACATTAAAATAGTAGTCACCTCTGCATCAATACTCTTGTATTTAAGTTTTACAACTACAGTTCTGCTCATATTACTGCTTTTTCAACTTTTAGTTTCACAAATAATAAGGTATTACAGATAAAAGCTAAAATATCATTTGATTATGAAGCCTAGTGGCAATTTTGTCTTCTTTCCAGAAGAGTTTGATAAGTATACATGTATGTAGTCCTTTAAAAATACTGAAACAGATATATAGAAAATAAATACTGTGGATGTGGGCTTTGTTCTTTTTGGCTTTTACATCAAAATACTGTAATGCATCAATTGTCTGCATCTTGCTTTTTTTTTTTTTCACTCATACAGTGTTTTTATGATCTATTTATGTTGGCATATAGCAGTCTGCTTTGTTCCACTTAATGGCTTTTTTTGTGTTTCATTGTATTAGTATGTAGCATTTTATTACCCATTCCCTGTTCTGGACATAGTTATCACATTTTTACTTTTCCAGATACTGAGGCAGTGAACAGCTGTTTACCTGTCTGCTTATATTTTTGTGCAGTGTTTTCTCTAAGACAGATACCATAGTTGATTTTGCTGTGTCTAAGCTAGAAGTATTTTATATTTAATAGACCTTGCAGTATTGTGCTCTAAAATGCCTTTATCTCATTTCCGTATCTTTAATTTATAATAAACTTATTTTGTAAATGAAATCTTTCATTTTAATGTTCATTGCCTTGAGTAATTAGTGAGGCTTTTTGTATACCTGATAGTTACTCCTTTCTTTGGCAGTCTTCATATTAGTATAAATGCATTTTCCCCATTCTTTTTAAGAATGTTTTCCTCTGAAACTACAGTATCCCCACATGTTGCTTCAAGTTGTAGAGCCCCAAACTAGATATTATAATCTAGATGAAATCTGGAATGATATTACTGAATGTGAGGGACCTGGATTCTAGTTAATATTTGTCCTTAATTTAGTCTTCTAAGCCTTGATTTTGCACATTTAAAACCTAGTGGTAGTTGGAGTAATAGCTTAAAATCCTTCCAGCTATAATCCATGAATGTTGAATGTGGGATTTGATTCAGCTGTATTTGTCAGTTATTCCACTCTAAAATGTTTGCTTTAAAAGGTAGTTTATCTCTCTCTTTTGTGATCCTGATCAGATACTCAAAATTTTACTTAGTAAAAGGAACTTACTGTTCTCTTACCTTTACTCATTTTTCTCTTTCTTGGTGGTGATTCATGCCAAGCTCTGTGGTTTGTTTGATGTAACTTGGTGAATGTTAAAATGGTACATACCAAAACTACTACTCTACATGGAGATTCTAGTATTCTATTAAATTACATGGGGATTTTGTCATTTATTCCCTTAAATAGATTAATTTATTCTCATTAAATATAAACTTTAAATAATTGTATAATTTTACTTATGTATGTATTTGCATAGAGGAACTGGGGTGTAGGCCAGAGGTGCAGGGGAGGAGAAGATTCACCAGAGACACAGTGGGGAGCAGAACAGGAGAATTGACTGAAACACACTGCTAAGAGGAGCAATGGGTAAGACAGGAGAGGTCTGCGGCAGTATATGTGGGTTAGCTTCCTAGCTGGGGATTGAACTCAGACTGTGGTGGTGATAGCGCTGAGACTTAACTCCTAGGCCACCAGGGAGGCCCTCCACTTTTTTACATCTTAATGTATTTCTGCAGAAATAGTGTTAAAATATAATTTTATATTCTGCTTTCTTCACAGTTCCTGTATAATAATCAAGATTTTAGAATAGTTGCATACTACTGCACAGTTAATGAATTTACATTAAATAATCACAGTGTGATTTGCTTAACTCTGCTACTTAACTATCCATGTTAAGTTGTTACATTTTATTTGTAGTTATAAGTGAATATCTTAATCCAGATAATTTTTCCTGGAGAGAATTTCAGACTTAGAATTTTATAAACATATATGACTCTTGGGGTATTATAAATGTGCTTCTCACTGGAAAAAAAAAAAAATTTCGTAGGGCCTCCCTGGTGGCGCAAGGGGTTAAGCACCACACTATAAAGCAATCCGCAGCCTCTGCAGCATGAGTTTGATCCCCATGCAGCCAGGGAGCAACCCACATGGCGCAGCAGACCTCTCCTGCCTCACTCGCTGCTCCCCTCAGCAGTGTATTTCAGTCAGTCTGTCTGTTCTGTTCCCTACTGTCTCTGGTGAATCCTCTCACCCTCCACACCTCTTGCCTATATCCCAGTTCTTGTATTCATAAATAAATAAATCTTAAAATAGTATAGGCTATCTAAATTTATTAGTGAGCCTTTGTGATTTTGTTACTTTTTTGTTTATATAATTTGAGCCATTTTTCATTTTAGTATTTTATAAAGCTTTAAAACTTAATTATCAATTAGTGATTATTATGTAATCATTTATATAACATTCACTGATTTATTTAGTTATTTTTAAAAGTTTAAAAAGTAATACTTAAATATATGTTTGTAGAAATTTAGACAGCCACATTTTACTGTTCAACAATTATAGATTTATTTTCTAAGAGTAACTTCTGTTAGACAAGAAATTTGATGAATGAAAACATACTCATTCTCCAGTTAAATTGCCTTGTAAGTTTTGAGACTGTACACATAAATTGATAATGTATATTTGTTACCCTGTATTTGTTTATTTCAGTGGTCAAGGAAGTTTGCTCCAACCTTTCATATATTATAGATTTCTTACTCTTCGCTATTCCTCTCGAAGAAATCCGTATTGTCGGTAAGCTGTTAATTACTTTAAATCTATTTTGTTGAGGGTATTGTGAAATACAGTATTTATAACTTTTTAGAGTTACAAATTAGGTTTTATTTTAGAATTTGGAAGCAAGTAGTATTTTGTACCTTTCAGTTTTAGGCCTTAGGACTATGGAGGGTTGATAAGAAAGTGGTTGTTATTTCTTTTCAGAAACTGACACTGGAATTATCTTGACCATTTCTAAAATAGTGCCACAGCTTAAGTACTTTAAAGATGTGTACGACATAAGTCCTATTCTCAAGGAACTTTCCTAGTTGAAAGAAAAAAATATGTCAGATGATGAAAGAAGGAAACAGAAGTTCATGATACAGTATATACAAGTCAGTATATGATGAATTGTCCTATATTTGCTGTATCATATTAGTGTAGTCCACAAGAGGAAGGGATCATGGAGCTAGAAGATATACTAGTCCAGGAAAATTTCATGAAATGGAGGTTTTTATTTGTTCTGGAATGATTAAAATCCTTCGAGTAGACCATGAAAACATGGAAAAACATTTTAGATAGTGAGACAGCCCAAGTTCAGAGGCAAGAAGGTATAACTCATGTTGAAGGGGTCCTGAGATTCTAAATAGTATGAGTGATGGGCCTCCCTGGTGGCGCAGCGGTTGAGCCCTGGGTTGCGAAGGTGCCCGCAGCCTCTGCAGCGCCGGGTCGATCCCCGGCTGCTCCCCCGGTCACTGGAGGAGGGTTCCGCATGGTGCGCAGACCTCTCCTGCCTCCCGCTGCTCCCGTCAGCAGTGTTCTTCGGTCCTTCTGCCTGCTCTGCTCCCCGCTCTGGCTCTGGTGAATTCTCTCACCCTCCTGTGCTTCTGACTGTACCCAGTACTTGTATAAATAAATAAATAAATCTTTTCTTTTAAAAAATAAATAAATAAATAGTATGAGGGATTAGAGCTAAAATTTAAAAAATGTATTGAAGCCATATCATGAAATTCTTGAGGTTCAGGATAAGCAGTTTAGAATTTACTGTTTCAGGTGTAAAGGAGTTATGGTTTTGACAAGATAATCTTTTGATAGTCTTATGCAGAATAGTTTGGAGTGGAAAATCAGGAAGCAGGGAAATACTTTAGTGAATTATTATAATGTTTTGGAATGGAGGCTTAAATTATGTATTCTGATCTCAAAGATTGGAATATAATTAAACTGAATAGCTAGCTTTTTAAAAGATTTGTTTTTATGTATTTGTGCATACAAGAACTAGAGTGTAGGCCAGAGAGAGAGTTGGGGAATATAACAGGCAGATCTATTGAAATACATTGCTGAGGGGAGCAGCGGGTGAGAGAGGTATGCTGTGCCATGTAGGTGGGCTCCCTGACCAGGAATTGAAATCGTGCAGCAGAGGCTGGCGATAGCTTGATATTGCTGAGACATTAACTCTGGTGCCACCAGGGAGACCCTGAATAGCTGTTTTTAATAGTTCCATGCTATTCAAATAGTAATGTTATTAATATACCAAATTTTTGTTTTCAAGTTTAAAATAAATTTATCATGGTGTGGTAACATCCATTTGAACAGGTGTGAATCTTATCTCTGAATCATATAAGGTATTGTAAACCAAGTTCAGTTAAAACAAAATACAATCTTAAAAAATGCTTGCTACAAGAGAAAATAAATTCTTCATGTACTAGAATTCAGCCAAATAGCCAGTGAGTATATTAGTGCTGTCTCTATTGTGCTTTCATAACAAAGTAAAAGTAACTGAATCTGAATGCTGCTCATCATTTCCCACATATATGACTTTGGACGATTTTTTCCCCATTTTAATTTCTTTGTTGGTAGAGGAGAAAACCTGGCAGTGATGAAAAAATTATTTTAAAGTTCTTAAAATTCTATTAGGTTCTTAATAAATAATGTTTTTCTTGCTCTTGTTGATTCTTATTTTTCTCCTTTGGAGGGATGTTTTATTCTCTTAGACAACATCTTTTTTGCAATACTATCTAAATTAAAGTTTTCTTAGGTAGATGTGGGTTTTTTTTTTTAAAGATATATTTATTTATGCATATAAGAGCTGGGGTACAGGCCAGAGATGGGGGGGGGGGGTGAGAAGATTCACCAGAGACAGAGCGTGAAACAGAACAGGCAGACTGACTGAAACACTGCTGAGGGGAGCAGCGGGCGAGGCAGGAGAGGTTGCTCCCTGGCCAGCTGGGGATCGAACTCATGCTGCAGAGGCTGCGGATTGCTTCATAGTGCGGTTCTTAACCCCTTACACCACCAGGGAGGCCCAGATGTAGGTTCTTAATGAGTCCCTAGCTACAAATAAACCTTCAGTTTTGCGTTTCTATTTTATGTATTCATGTCAGACCTTACCTTCAACCTGCCCTAACATCTGTTTTTCATCAGCAGATTTTTTCTGCTTTCTTGTATACTCCATTCACATTTTCTCCACATATATACTGATTGATATACATAGAAATTTAGATGTGTTCAGAAAAGAAAGGGTAGCAGTGGGTCAGGAAAACAAATACGTGCTAATAAATATCTTCAAAGATCTCCCTTAAGCACACATTTCAAGAAAATAGTAGCAAAGTAATGGAAAATATTCGAGCTTGTAAATATCAAACAGGCTATAAAACTGTTTTCAACACGACACTTTTTTTTTAATAAAGATTTATTTTTATTTTTATAAAAGAATTGGGGTACAGGCCAGAGATGCAGGGGGTGAGAGAATTCACCAGAGACAGAGCGGGGAACAGAACAGACAGACGGACTGAAGTACACTGCTGAGGGGAGCAGCGGGTGAGACAGGAGAGGTCTGTCCCGCCAAGTGGGTTTCTCCCTGGCCGGCTGGGAATCGAACTCATGCTGCAGTGGCTGCAGATTGCTTCATAGGTTGTGTCTTAACCCCTGCGCCACGAGGGAGTCCCTCAACACGACACTTTTTAAAAGGGTTTTGAGACAGTCTGTATCACCACCCTGTACCATTTTCACCTATCATATTATTTATTCTCAAATGATAGGTTTCCGTCTTTTGTAGATGTCCAGTGCAGACTGATCAGAGCTGAGCTGCCACAATACTGCAGCCACTAATCACATTTCATTGTTTAAACTTTAGATAATGACAGTTCATAAAATTTAAAACTCAGTTCTTGAGTCACATTCACCACATTTCCAGAGTCACATGACACACATTTCAAGTGTCAAAAGACATGTATGGTTGATCGCCACTGTATTAGACTGCACAGTAAGACATTTTCATCATCCCTGAAAGTTCTATCCCCACTGCTCCGAAGGAATTCTGTGATTTGTGCTAAATTATGCCAGTGATAGAGTCAGAAGGCTTTATCTGTAACCTGAAGGCTTTGACTAGATTATTGTTATTATTTTATTACTATTGTTATTATTTTATTATTATTTATTATTATTTGTTATTTTATTATTATTGTTATTATTTTCTAGCTTTATTCATTAGATTCACTTTTTCAGAAGATAGTGAATTTGTGTTGTTGATAACAAGTTTATGAAGAATTGAAAGTGTGCTTTGTAGGGACTTAGAGCTGTGTGAATTAAAGAACTGTATAAGGATAAGTTGGAAGATATTAGAAGGGTAGGAACTTTGGGTTTGGGAAAGAAGAATGAGTTAAAGAGGGGCTCTAGATTTCTAGCATGAGAACCCGAGAGTTGTGAGTGATGGGGCTGTCACATAGAAAGGAGATACATCTTTCCAAATTTGCTTCCTGTCTTTGTGTGAAAGTACTTTAAATAGTAGATTAAAATACTGACCATAAAAATAACACAGGAAGATACAGAAAGGTAGAACAGGACTGGTGTCTTTATGCAAGATATATTAGAACATAAGGTGAAAATTCTGAATGGGTACAATTACCCTTGGTGCTTCTTCAGATCATTTATAAATTACAGTACAAAAATGCATGGTTTTGTTTCTGCTAGCCTGTACATTATATGTGTGATGTGTAAAATATGAAATATAGTGCTATTTTTACAGATAAGGAAAGGTCTAAGAAGCACTGTGTTCATTTAAGGAATTGTAGCTGGGGTTGTCCATATTACTTTCTTACTGTTTTAGAACTCGTTGAACTTGCTTAAGTTAAATGTGAAAATGATTGTAAAGAAGACAAATCATTTCTAATCTCAGCACTCTGAGATAATCATTTATTAATGCTTTTGTTAATTCTCCTCTCCTCAAAAAAAATGTATTTACTTTGAGAATTTTATTTGCGCATTCCATACAACATATTCTAGTTATTTCTTTAGTTTCAGATTCTTTAATAATTGTGGAAAATTCCTTCATTAGCATTTGCTTTTACACTATGTTGCTTTTTCCTTGTTTCTGAAAGAAACTATTTTATCTTGCAGAACCTTGTTTAATGAACTGAGGATTGTTGTTGAACATATAATAATGAAACCTGCTTGCCCTGTGTTTGTGAGAAGACTTTGTCTCCAGAGCATTGCCTTTATAAGCAGACTGGCTCCAACAGTTGCGTAGTTTAACATCCAGCTAAGTTATATATAATCTAAGCATTATTTGCAGCTGGTACTTCTGCTAGGAGTTTTTAATTTCAGGTGTAAAACTGACCTCAATCCATTTTACATAACTTACATAAGTACATCTCAATGGGAAGACATAATTTTTCTGGCATGTTAAATCAAGCCTTTAAAAAGTTTCTGAGAAAATTTTACTGTGTTATGTTGTTAATGATTATAGAAGTTTGTATCTTGTAATAAGTGTACTGAGGATTTTTTTAGATGCTGCTGTGCCTTTATCATGAACATTTATTTCTCTTGTAGAAATGGCTCTAAAATTTCTTTCAACCTAATTGGTACCCTGAATTTATATCTGGCCTGAGTTCATTATGATAATATTACATATATGAATTCAGTATATTTTGAGACAGTATTGTTTTGCTGTTCATTAATTTTGGTTGATGATTTTTCAGAAGCAATTCTCACTATTTACTTTCAAATTATTATTTAGGGTGACTTTGTGCTGCTTTGTTAGAACAGATTTATTTTGAATGTATTATCATGAGAAATTCTATCTTATGCTGTGACCTTCCAAAATTTTGTTTTTCCATACTTACATCTGTGAGCTTGAGTATGGTTTTTAAAAGGCTCAACTGTAAGCTTGTTAACCAGTTGTGTAACTATTTGGGGTTCACCTAAACATTTTGCACTGGAAAGCAGAAGTCATACATTCTTTCAGAGATCTATTGAGTAAGTAGCATTTCTTAAGTAGGAAATCCTTATATAGATAAGGACACATAGTACTATCATAGTTGGTAGAAGTACCTAGATGAGATTCTTGACTGCCAGTTTTCTCGGTTTCTTAGGCTTGAATTTTAACTGACAATTGCAGAAGTTCAGATGACTTTTGAAAGTGATGTCACTGAAGATTGAGCATATGATATCCTTGATTTCTGTTCTGATAAAATAATGAAGATTATCGTGTTGATTACATACTTACTCATCAAATCCGATTTAAAATGTTAAAATGAAAGGATTATAGGTAAGATAATTGACTGGGAATGGGGCAAGAGGAAGAGTTATGGAGAATAGTGTGCATCTAGTTTTGTAATTCATAGAATTGGATGTATTATTCAACTGTGATTTGAGTTGTGCGATATGTTCTGTTCATTGAACTTCCATCAGTTCCTTTATAAATTCATTCCAATCTTTATTACTATTGCATGATTGGAAATGTTTAAAACATCAAATTTTAGTAGAGTAATGTAATGATTTTCGTAACCAGTTTTTTCTGTCTGCATGTAAATTTCTCAAAAACATTCATTAGTAACTTAGTTACATCAGCTTTCTTTTCAAATTCTCACTATATAGAAATGTGATATCCTCTTGATAACTGTAACCAGCTATTTTTGTATTTTTGTAATATTTATGTACTAAGTTCAAGAAGCAGCCTCATAATATTCAGTTGATTGTGTATGTGTGTGTGGCTAGCCGCCCTATTTACTGTATGTTTAATCTGATGGTTTAAAGCTAAATTTTCTAGAGCAATAAAGTGATGATAATGTTAAGTAAATAGTATATTGATTTCTAATAGTGTTTTTAAAAATTAAGTCTTGAATTAGATTGTTTTGGCAGCTGAAGGCATATTTATTTTTAAGTTACTGGGTTGGTTTTTTGGTAATATTTTTATCTTGATAGTTTTAGGTTTATAGAAGAGTTGCAAAATCAGTACAGAATTCCTTATACCCTTTACTCAACTTGACATTAAAAGTTATATAACTAGACAACATTTATCAAAAACTAAGGAATTAATGTGAACAATACTATTAACTGAAGTACAGAACTGAATTCAGATACCCCCACTTTTTCCATTTCTTAATTTTTTTTCTGTATGCTCTATTTTTACCATGATGATTTATTTTTCATGACCTATAAGTCTGCCATTTTGAGTTTTTCCTTTTTATTTTGGAAATTTCATTGGCCAAAAAGATTTTCCTAAAGAAAAGAATTCATACTAACATTAACAGGCATAATTTTAATCTTAAAATTGTAATTTGAAACACTGCTTTGAAAGTTTAGACTTTTAATCACATTAATAGGATTCTATTTCTGATTTGCCCATGTTTGGCTATTTAAGGAAGGCTTGATTTACAAATAAAACACACTCATGAAAAAGTAAATTGTACAATTTGAGCATTACTAGATACTTAGTTTGTGTGAAATTTTAGATAGAAATTCTGCAATATGATTATGTACAGCTGGCTAATTTGGCATCTGAAATTATAGTGTAACCTGTACACCTATTGAGTTAAAATTATGAAATGTAATAGCACTATATAGAATGAACGTAGGAGGAGGAATTATAGCTCAGTAGCTTTTTACTTGCAGGTCTGAAAAAGGTTGGTTTAATGTCCAGAATATCTAATTCTTCTGAAAATGGTATAGTAATGTTCTTAATACCACTTTTAGATTACTCTTTTGGATAGGTAGAAGCCACATACAGATATTTTAACAAGGATTTATATTCCTTTATATACTTGATTCCTGCTGAATAACTATCATCAGTCCAAAGAGAAATTTCTTCTTTTTTTTTTTTTAAAGATTGATTTATTTATCCATATAAGAGCTGGGGCAGAGGCCAGAGATGTGGGGAGTGAGAGGACTCAACAGAGACAGAGCGGACTGACTGAAATGCACTGCTGAGGGGAGCAGTGGGTGAGACAGGAGAGGTCTGCTGCACCATGTGGGTTGCTCTCTGGCTGGCTGGGGATCGAATTTGTGCTACAGAGGCTGTAGATCGCTTCATAGTGCGGTGCTTAACCCCTTGCACCACCAGGGAGGCCCAAAGAGAAATTTCTTAAGTAACAGTTTATATTTAAATTCATGTGGAATAAAATTCACCAAGACGGATGGTTCATGGGTATCTTGGTGGTGGTAATTTTATGGGGATTACTCTAAGAGGAGAATGAACAGTGACATAAAAAATTAATTAAATTCACCAAGGCGGATGCATCTGGAAGTAAGCAAGAAAGGGCCTCCTTGCTGGTGTAGGGGTTAAAGACTCAGAACTATAAATTTGTCACCAGCATGAGTTAGGTCCCCAGCCAGGGAGCTAACCCACATGGCACAGCAGATCTCTCCTGTTTCGCCCACTGCTCTCCTCAGCAGTGTATTACGGTAGATCTGCATATTCTGCTCCCCACTCTGTCTCTGGTGAATCCTCTCAACCCCCTGTACCTCTGGCCTACACTCCAGTTCTTGATTGCATAAATAAATAAAAATAAATCTTTAAAAAAAAGTAAACAAGGGCCTCCCCAGTGGCGCAGCGGTTGAGCGCTGGGTTGCGAAGCTGCCGGCAGCCTCTGCAGCGCTGGTTCAATTCCCCGGCTGCTCCCCGGCCACCGGAGGAGGGTCCCGCATGGCGCGCAGACCTCTCCTGCCGCGCCCGCTGCTCCCCTCAGCAGTGTACTTCGGTCCTTCTGCCTGCTCTGCTCCCCACTCTGGCTCTGGTGAATTCTCTCACCCTCCTGTGCTTCTAACTGTATCCAGTGCTTGTATAAATAAATAAATAAATCTTTAAAAAAAAAAAAAAGTAAACAAGATAATTAATTTTTCAAAAAATAAATTTAGATACATAGGAACTTCCCTAACAGAGAAAGTTAAGTCAATGCTAATTTAAAGCTGAAGTTACACATAAAAATTATAAAATTATCAGAATACTTCCTGAAAATCCAGATCAAAAATTCAGATTAGGTTTGTAAGGTTAAGATATTAATAGTATTCATTGTGGAAAGAAAGATGAGTATGTGAAATAAAACCATTTTATGTGAAATAAAACCATTAGAACTGAGAAATTTAGGATTTTTAATGTTTGAGATCAGAATGAATGAAGTTAATTTTGAGGGATTGTGGTAAAGACCCTTACCTAACACCAAGAAATTTGATTATAATTTTCTAAAATTCCCATCCTTCCCCCCGCCATCCCGTTGGAATCTACTAGCCTTAAAATCATTGCTCCTATTTACGCATTTAGTTTTGATACTTCACTGTGTAATGAATACCTTAAGGGAGAATGTAACCGCATTTATGATCACCAGGTGGCACTCTTTCCTCAACACCCCCTTCCATTGTTTCACATGCCAGTTTCAAAGTTAAATGCCACCAAAAGTGCAGAGTCAGCAAAACTGAGGATCTGGGTTCCGTGACCCTTTAAATGTGTAATAACTCAATATTTGACAAATATTTAGTAAGCATTCTCTGTGAATACATTCTTGAAATATTGAAAAGGTGAGAGAATTATCATACCTGTTTTCTAGGTAAGCAGTAAAATAGGTGACAATTGAAAGTGGGCATCATTCAGATCATGGTCTCCCTGGTTTCTCTTTTTTTTTCCTTTTCAGTATAAGTGCCTAAATCACCCAAACATATCAAATATAAAATTGTTTTTCATTTTCAGGTGTGTAGAAAAATAGTACTTAATTTTTTTCATGATCACTTTGTAGGTACACAAGGCATAGTCAGTTTAACCTCTTTAAATTTTTAATGGTAACATAAAAGCATATTGAAGTTTTTTGGATATTATATCAAGAAAGGTACTGGAATTTTAAATTCAGTTTGAAGTTACTAAAACAACTAGTTTGTCTTATCACTTCATTGGAACTTCACTAAGTTTAGGAGAATTGTCCAGAGGCTGTATGATTAATAGTATAATTTCACAGATAGCATACCAAAGGCATACATTTATAAATCCAAGAGTTATTTCCAGAGATAGTTTTAATGAATAGTCTTCTTAGAATATTCTGGATGGAAAGTTGGTGTATCTGGTACTAAGGAAGAGAAAGGAGCTGCTAAAAGTTTTGGGAGATTTTCTGGTAGTAATTATTCTAGGACATGTTTATCTTTTAGGGTGAGTTCTTAGAACACACCGTTTCTAAGTGAAGGATTAATGGTAGTCTTTCTCTCATGCAGTGCAAATAGGAAAACTGATATGCACTGGATTTGAGTTGATATAACAAGAGATAAAATACAGTATTCTTTTAATCTAAAGCAAATTCTTTTTCTTAGAAAATGATAGGAAAAAAGTGATTGATGAATGTCTTTCCTAGAATCTAAAACTTAGTTCATATTCCAGGAGGAAAAAAGGGTCCAAGGATCATATCACTTTTTCCTTATGAAATGGATTTTTCTGATTGCTCAGTACTTTTTAAGTAATCTTTTTTGCTTAGTTCATGCAGTTTAATTCTAAAACTTGACTTTTTGTGTGTGTGACTTTAAAATAGAACAAAAGCTTTGACATGAATTTTTGCTTATATATATATTTGTAAGTTGCGACCAAATGGGCAAAGTCTTGAGCAGGTAGCATTTGTAATGTGTGTATATAGATATTGGAACAAATGTAAAAGGGTCACAAAGATTAGAGAGAGAGTCATAACAAAACTGTTGATTTATAAATGCATTACTTCTGGTGCTCTATATAATGGGGTATATTGAACTAAAAAATCTTTACATACAGAATGTCAGCATTTCTTAGTCACTCCTCTTGAATCCATTTTTAATATCTAATAGTATACAGGTTGGGGAGTTACACTCTTCAGGCCAATGCCACCCAGACTATATAAATTTATAAAATAAATTGAAAAATTCATCATTCCTCCTGTATTCAAGACCAAAGCACATAAATGCTAATGTAGGGCTCAGAGGGGAAATATATTTCTCCTGAATATTTGAGAAAATGTGAAGTCCTTTCAAGAAAATCTAATAAACATAATAATCATAGCCTGCTGACACTAAGGAAAAAGGACCTCATTCGCTCTTTCTTTTATGCAGCGATTTACTGGTCCCTACTGATTTCCAAATTGGATCACTCTAGTAAATTATCTATGCTGGTACCTGTGAAAGTAAGCCCTGGGATCCATATTTGTTTTGTGTTCTGCTTAAATCAGCAAGAATGATAAATTTGATGGTGTGAAATTGGAAGTGTCAAGGGCTTTCTTTGGTGATTGAGCAAAATAATGTCTCCACTTGTAATTTATTGTGACCCTTTTTCATTGTATGTGCTTTGTATATCTGATATTTATTTCAATACAAATTAAATTGTTGTTTCTTCGTCTGTATTGTTATATCTAAGGTTTTATTGATGTAAAAATTAAATTGTGTAATAAAAATCTCTCTGAATTTAAGCAGATTTTAAAAATGTCATGTTGCAGAAAAAATTACCATTGGAACTCAGCTTCCCATTGTACTTCATTACCTTATTGTTAGAATAAGGTGAATTTGGAAACTTCTGTTTTCCTCAGCTCATCACAAATAATAGAAATGGTATAATTTTGTGGTCTAATGTGAAACTGGAAAAAATGGCCTAAGTGAAACTGAGAAAAGAAAAATTAGAGTGGATTTCACAGCTGTTTGCTAACTTGCTTCTGCACATTTTTAATAATGAAATATAGAGCCTAGTGATGGATGAGTTATTTGTAAGCCTAAAATGATTCACAATATACAATACATCCAGTGTCAACACACTTACGGTTTTTCAAGCAAAATGTAAAAATGTCAGAGGGCGCTTTTTTTATTCTTTTAATATTATGGCACAGTCAAGGGATCAACCTATTACCATTTTATTTGGGTTTTTATGCTCATATTTGCCCTAAGATGTTTTTGTGGTCTCTATAATTAATGGTACGTATTTATATAATACTAATATGCTTTCAATACTATCAATAAATTTTAATCCTTTTACATTAAAATGTACAGATAATGTTGAGGCAGGTTTATAAAACCATACTTAGTCTAATTTCTATTTATAGTACTGATAGTTATCAAATGCTCAACTTTTATATACAATATGAGACTCTTGTTTTAATTACAAGCCGGCTGCCCCCTGCTGGTAAGTTCTGTATAATCTTATAGTTCAGCCCATCCACTGTATTTTAGTCTCGCCATTAAATGTATAAAAAGCTCTTCTAAAGAATACAAAACAAGTTTGGGTTATTACCAAGTAAATCTGGTTGTAAATCACAGTGTAATGTCACATAGAATCCTTTGGGGGTTTTGTTAAATGTTGATGAAGGCTTTTAAGAATTAACAGATGGATCCTGGGCCTCCCCGGTGGCACAGCAGGTTGAGCACAGCGCTGTGAAGCTGTCTGCAGCCTCTGCAGTGTGGGTTTGATTCCCGGCCGGCCAGGCATACCTCTCCTGTCTCGCCCACTGCTCCCTTCAGCAGTGCTTTTGGTTCTGCTCCCCACTCTGTCTCTGGTGACTCCTCTCACCCTCCCACGACTCTGGCCTGTACACCAGATATTGTATAAATAAAAAAATCTTTTTTTTTTTTTTAAAGATTTATTTATTTATACAAGCACTTGGGTACAGTCAGAAGCGCAGGAGGGTGAGAGAATTCACCAGAGCCAGAACAGGGAGCAGAACAGGCAGAGGACGAAATATACTGCTGAGGGGAGCAGCGGGCGCGGCAGGAAAGGTCTGCATGCCATGTGGGACCCTCAGTGGCGGCCGGGGATCAAACCAGCACTGCAGAGGCTGCGGGCAGTTTCGCAGCCCAGCGCTCAACCGCTGCGCCACCAGGGGAGTCCCTAAAAAATAAATCTTTAAAAATAAATTTTAAAAAATAAACCAGGGCTTCCCCGGTGGCGCAGTGGTTGAGCGCTGGGTTGCGAAGCTGCCCGCAGCCTCTGCGGAGCCGGTTCGATCCCCAGCTGCTCCCCGGCCACTGGAGGAGGGTCTTGCATGGCGCGCGGACCTCTCCTGCCGCCCGCTGCTCCCCTCAGCAGTGTACTTCGGCCCTTCTGCCTGCTCTGCTCCCCGCTCTGGCTCTGGTGAATTCTCTCACCCTCCCGCGCTTCTGACTGTACCCAGTGCTTGTATGTATGTATAAATAAATAAACAAACAAACAAATAAATAAATAAATAAATAAACCAGATGGATCCCAACTTTTCAACTAGGTATTTACTACTGAAGGAAAATTAAAAGGCTAAAACTATACACAGTGTATTTAGGGGATCTAAAATGATGAGTTGGGTAAGTTTGAGCCAGTCTTACTCATTCTTTTGCCTGCAGTAATCAATTTGACCAGAGAGAATGGGAAAGGAAGGGAAATGGGCACCTTTCAAGTGGAGGGAGATCCTCAGTTGAATTGTCCTTGGCACCTTTGCTCACTTATATGATATAGAAAGACAAATACAGGAAGGAGAATTTCCTAAGGCCTAGAGGTCAGTTTAGATGAAAGCCCAGCACCTTGAAAGGCCTGGGTGACCATCATTTCTAACACTTTTTCTCTTTCTTAACTTAGTCTTGCCTTTATTTCCTTTTTACTCTCTACCTCAGAACGTCTCTTGAATGTTTCTTTTGTCAGTGACCTCAACACTCCTGCCCTGTTCTGTTGCATTTACCTGACAACTCCCAATCACCAGTCTAAAGTACACACATGCACACATTGTTTTTCAGCACTCTATTTTTCCTCTAAACTTGTTCCTCGTGTGTTGTTCGAACTTCCGTCTTTTCTTATTTAAATTATTTGCTTTTACTATTAAATACTCGTGTGTAGAAGTTACACTGTAGTAGCAGATTTATCAATTCCTCCTTTGTTAAAAGATAAGTAGGAATATTTAAATAAATGTTTAGTAGCTTTTTTTTTTAAAGATTATTTATACAAGAACCGGGGTACAGGCCAGATGTGTGGGAGGGTGAGAGGACTCACCAGAGACAGAGCGGGGAGCAGAACAGGCAGACTGACAAAATACATTGCTGAGGGGAGCAGCAGGCAAGACTGGAGAGGTCTGCCACGCCATGTGGGACCCTTGCTGGCCAGCTGGGATCGAACCTACGCTGCAGAGGTTGTGTACAGCTTCACAGCGCTGCGCTCAACTGCCTGTGCCACCAGGGGAGGTCCTCAGTAGCCTTTCTTGAGCATAAGTTGATTTGAATGTGACAGTGCCAAACAAGGTGATTAGTAATGGTCTGTGGCAGGAGCTAGGGGAGGCCTTATTAAGAGGAAACACAAAAACAAAGGAAGGAAATTATTGGATGGAGTACAGCTTAGGAAGTGCCTTGTTTGGGAAAGTTAGTTGGATTGGTTGTTCTTAAGAGTCCAGGATTAAGACCCCATAGCTGGAATAGAATTTAGGGGTACATTGAATAAAACAGTTATACTTAGTTTCTGGACATGAGGAGTTCATGTGGTTTGTATTAATATGTCCGAAAAGTGAAGTCATGACTGAACATTCTTTGGGATTTTGTATAATTGGTCAACAATATGATTGTGTTTTGTAGATTGAACTGTCGTTCTCGACCATAATAAGGTGTTTTAGTCTGGGGTGCCATAAAATAATCCATTTGTTTTTTTACTTAAGCAATAAATTTATTTTCTCATACTTTGAGAGGCAGAGAACAAGGTCAAAGCACCAATGTCAAGATCCTCATTTTAAGGCATCTTTTCTTGGCTTGCAGGTGGCCACTATCTCACTGTATGTTTATGTGGCCTTTCCTTGGTGCACGTATGGTGAGAGATGGTGAAAAATACCTCTCTCTTCTATCCTATTGATTCAAGGCTCCATTTTTTTTATTATTTAAATTTTATTTTTATATTCCCCATACAAGTACAACCCCCTTATTTTGACCCCAAGCCCTCCTTTCCTTGCCCCCTACCCCCCATAGAGTGTCTCTGGTTCATAGTTGTTTGTTGATTTTGATATTTTCTTTCTTATTGTTATCCTTTTTCCTGGTCCCTTATTTAAGTTTTCTAGATTCCTGCTATGCGTGAGGCCATCCAGTATTTTTCTTTTTCTTTCTGGCTTATTTCGCTAGGCATGATCCCTTCCAGCTCCATCCATGTTGCTGCAAATTGCATGTGTTTATCTTTTTTGAATGCTGAGTAATATTCCATGGTGTATATGTACCACATCTTCTTGATCCAGTCATCTATTTTTGGGCATTTGGGTGGTTTCCAAAGCTTAGCTATTGTAAATAGTGCTGCTATAAACATAGGGGTGCAGGTGCTCTTTGGAATTGATGTTTCTGTGTCCTTTGGATAAATACCTAGGAGTGGAATTGCTGGATCATATGGAAGCTCTATGTTTAGTAGGTCCAGAAATCTCCACACAGCTCTCCATAGTGGTTGGACCAATTTGCACTCCCACCAACAGTGTAGGAGAGTTCCTTTTTCTCCACAACCTCGCCAACATTTGTTGTTGCTAGTTTTTTTAATAGGTGCCATTCTCACTAGTGTAAGATGGTATCTCATTGTAGTTTTGATTTGCATTTCCCTGATTACAAGTGATGTTGAACATTTTTTCATATGCCTGTTGGCCATTTGCATTTCCTTTTCAGAGAAGTTTCTTTTTAGCTCTTCTGCCCATTTTTTGACTGGGTTATTTTCTTTGTTTTTGTTGAGTCTCATCAGCTCTTTGTAGATTTTTGCAATCAGTGCTTTATCATTAGTGTTGTGTGCAAAAATGTCCTCCCAGTCGGTGGGGTTTCTCTTTGTTTTTGTTATTGTCTCTTTTGCTGTGCAGAAGCTCTTTAATTTGATGTAGTCCCAGCTGTTTATCTTTGCCTTCACTATCACTGCTTTGGGTGATGTGTCTGTAAAGATGTCTTTGATGTGCATATGAGGTAGTGTTTCGCCTATATTTCCTTCTATGTATTTTATGGTTTCAGGTCTTATATCTAGTTCTTTAATCCATTTTGAGTTGGTTTTTGTGCATGGTGTTAGGTAGTAGTCAAGCTTCATTCTTTTGCATGTAGTGACCCAGTTTTCCCAGCACCATTTATTAAACAAACTTTCTTTGCTCCAATGCATATTCTTTGCTCCTTTGTCAAAGATTAGTTGACCATAAATCTGTGGGTTTATTTCTGGATTTTCTATTCGATTCCATTGGTCTGTATGTCTGTTCTTGTTCCAATACCATGCAGTTTTGATGATTATGGCTTTGTAGTAGAGTTTGAAGTCTGGGCGTGTGATGCCTCCATTCCCCTCTTTTTTTTTTCAGGAGAGCTTGGGCTATTCAGGGTTTTTGGTGATTCCATATGAATTTCATCAATAATTGTTCTATTTCTTTGAAGAATGACATTGAAATTTTGATTGGAATAGCATTGAATCTGTAAATTGCTTTTGGTAGGATGGCCATTTTAATAATGTTTATTCTTCCAATCCATGAGCAGGGGATGTCTTTCCATTTCTTTGTGTCTTCTCCTATTTCTTTTAACAGTGTTTTATAGTTTTCTTTGTATAGGCCCTTTACCTCTTTTGTTAGATTTATTCCCAAGTATTTGATTTTATTGTTTTGATAATAAAAGGGATGTTTTTTTCGATTTCTTCTTCAGATTTATTGTTTGTGTATAGGAAGGCTACTGACTTTTGCATGTTGATTTTGTATCCTGCCACTTTATTGAACTGATTGATTAGTTGAACTAGTTTTTCTGTGGAGTTTTTGGGGCTCTCTATGTATATTATAATATCATAGTGATAGTTTGACTTCTTTTCCTTTGGATTCCTTGTATGTCTTTCTCTTGTCTTATTGCTCTGGCTAGGACTTCCAGTATTATATTGAAAAGCAGTGGTGAGAGTGGACATCCTTGTCTTGTTCCAGATCTTAATGGAAATGCTTTCAGCTTTTAACCATTGAGAATGATACTGGCTGTTGGCTTGTCATATATGGCCTTTATAATGTTGAGGTATGTTCCGTGTATCCCAAGAATTTCAAGGATGTTGCA